CTTGAGCTGACCCTCAGCTTCTCACAAGTTGAAGTTGAACCTTTCCGCGGTGGTTGAAGCTGAGTCAGGTCGAAATGTCTCCGGTTTGGGGTCTTCCCTGGGTGGTGTGGGAGGGAAAAAAAACCGTGAAGAGCAAGCCCTTGCTTGTCTCTTGAGCCAAGCTGACAGATACGAGTTTCTGTCGGCTTGCTCAACATACAATTGAGTATGTTGCACCAGCTGCAATGGTTGATCGATTTCGAGCTATGCACGCAAGAACAATAGTGTTCTGGAGCGGCGCATTTTTTCTGCCCTCCGCCCGGAGTCGAAGCTTGCTCGGCGTGGATTTTGACCGGTCAAACCTGTTTCACCACCAGTCCCTTTGTGACTGGAGGTTCCATGTTTGACCTTGCAGAAGAAATTTGAAAATGTGAGATTTCGAGAGTGAAGTCATTCTCGCAGAGAGGGAGCAATGGTGAACAACCACATCAGAGTCAGTTGGTGACGTGAGCTTACCTCTGTTCCTTCTTGGAGGAAAGTCGTAGTAGACTAATCACTCAACAAGTGCCGAAGTGATGAAAGCCGTAAAGTTTCTTATGAAGACTGAGCTACGTTCGTACGCAAACTCAATGAGCGGAGCCAAGTGATTTTCTTTCCATGAAATGGGGGGTACTTCAACTCAAATGATGATACGAATGATGATACATGTCTCCAACCTTTGCGTCATAACTAATGCTCGACCTAAGGTCGGAGCAACCATACTTGTATCTTGTAGCGACGAGATTGACCAAAGATTAAAATCTCAATAAAAATATTGGACGCGGCGTCACAGATGATGTCTGTCTATAGGAAAACCAATATCTTGTAGTAATGTCGTCTTATTGTTTCTCGGAAAATACGAAAGATAAAATAGATGCCCTGGATAAGCAGCCGTCATTGCCCACATCCGTAAAAGCGAGTTGTTGACGTTCTGCTGGCTATATAATAGAATAACATGAGAAAGCAAAACAGATGCACTCCACATCACCAATAATCATCACTTCTTCGATACCTTCGGCAAGTGTATCAGAACCACGCTGGGCTTTGATTTATTGTTAGGGACGAATTCCACCGTGTTGTCGTACGAGAAGTAGAACCACTGTGCAGGGACGTTAACGAACTGCTTCGTCTTGTAGAAATTGTCGAGCTGTATAAGCTCTCCACAACGTGCCTTACTCAACTTCATGGGGCCAGTGCCTGAGTTATATATTGCGGAACTCTGACCTAGCGGACTGCGCCAGTCTCTAAAAGAAATGCGCGCCAGTGAATCTTTCGCTCTGAAATAAGTGCTGACATCATGTGGCCCGATCCGGTTGTCATATAACCCTGTAGGCGTCTCCTCGTCCGATGTGAGGGAACCGTCGGGAGCCGACACTGCATAAGGGATGGCGACACAAGCGGCATCGTATTTGGTCGGATGCTCGCAGGCCGTCATTGTTAGATTGTGAACATAATCACCCTTCTTAGAGACCATCTGGACAACCTCGGCCGACCCCGGTGGCACCTTGAGATCGAAGCCCACTTCGTAGTAAGGATATATCTCAGGACCCTCACTACGTCCAAAACGTTTCAAGATGAAAGTGTTCTCCTTGATAACGGCGCTATCGTACCGAAAAGCGTAATAATGGATTCCGAAAAAGTTGTAACCCACGATAGCCTCCCCAGGAGAGTCGTATTGGAAGAACATGCACCCCCTGAGCATCATTCCAGGTGTAGGACTAAACACATCTTGGTAGGCGCAGTATTTCCCAGGCTTGAGAGAGGTATCAACACCGGTGACGACACCATAACCAGCTAACACTGCCATAGTGACTAACGCGGTGGCAGCAGACAGCATTCGAGTGGAGGGAAGATTCAAAAGACTGAGACCATTTCGTATCGCGAACCTTCAAGATTGAAGATAAGACTCCCTCATCAAAGCCCTGCGAAGCGTCTTCTTGAGTATTAAGCCAATCACCACTGGTGAATAGTAACCCCAAACTGACTGGTAACATCTTCCTGAGAAGATGTGCTAGTTACTATTATCAAGGGCCGGAAGAAAGGATCCCACAAGTACCCCTCATTCGGGAGTCTTTCTCATTCACCAACATCGATCAACTCTCGTAATTCACGTTAAACGCTACCAATGAACAAACTTCCGCACAGCCTTGTGCAGCATAGACCTCCAACACTGGACAAAACAACACGAGAAGACCATCTACCAGAGAGTGTGAACAAGTAACAAGAGAGAGAGGATGTTGAGGTTCTCACTCCTGAAAATATCGTCAACCATCTTTACTTGGGTCTTACGTCGTGTGAAACGTTACTGTTGGATGATGATGCATAATAACACAAGCGTGAATCACGTGATATGCTAAGTCCAAACATGTACTGCTATCAGTGATTTCACTTGGAGAGAGCTTATCACCAAGTGGAGCTGTTTTAAAACCGTTCGGGGAGCAGCTGCTACGCATATGATGATTACAAGTGATTCTAGTCGCTGTTACTCTCAGCCTGTGAGGTTTTCATTCTCGTCACGCATGTATTGCGCGGCGCTTATGTGAGCCGTATTCCGTGACTAACCTTGACTGATTATAAAACGCAGCTAACTCGTTATATGGAGTATTCTCCTGGAGAAGGTCAGTGAGACGAATGTGCCGGCGCACCACGACGGTGTGTATCCTATTGACAATCAAATCAATACGATCAAGATAGGCCTGCTGCTAGATGAGAAAGAAAATCGTCCTCAATCCGGAAGTTTCATTCACTCATTAGTAATCAATTAACATACGATATGCTTCATCAGACACACTATTTCAAACCTCTCTAGTGAGGCTCACAGCGTAACAACGTAGCCGAAAGGCAGCTAATGATGAATATTCGCGGTCCGCGGGTCACGGGTCTAAGGGTGGTTTCGTGAGGGGAAATGAAGACGGTTTTCGCGAGCTATCTGGCTCGGACGAAAACCTCAACAGCAGATTCACTTCAACCGTAGAAATGTGGACTCCGATACGAATATTTCACAACCGAAGATCTTGAGAATCTCCAGACTGGAGACTCCAGCGAAGATGTGCTTCCGACGATGCATCGCACTATGTTAATTGAGGGTGTTGATGTAGCGTTTTGCCATCTCATACGTCATTTCCCACACTGCGAACGGGACCCATATGAGCTGACCAGAACCAATAGATATCCCAATTATTGGACAACATGCTCAATGATAGTGTAACTCATAACGATCGAGCCATATATTCAACTCGGGCTATCTACAACACGTCATGGTGACGTGTTGTAGATAGCCATCAGGACGGATCATGGTAGATCAAGGTAATCAAGACCGATCGAAGCGGATCATGGTAGATCAAGATATGACCAAGGCGGATAATGGCAGATCAAGGGGGATCAAGGCCTGATCAAGACCGATCGAAGCGGATCATGTTAGATCAAGGGGTGATCAAGGTCGATCAAGGCGGATCATGGTAGATCAAGGCGAGATCAAGACCGTTCGAAGCGGATCATGGTAGATCAAGGCATGTTCAAGGTGGATCATGACAGATCACCGTCGATCAAGGCGGATCATGGTAGATCAAGGCGAGATCAAGACCGATCGAAGCGGATCATGGTCGATCAAGACATGATCAATGTGGATCATGACAGATCACCGTCGATCGAGGTATGATCTTGGTTGATCGAGGTCGATCATGGTCGATCAAGACAGATCATGGTAGATCAAGGCGTGGTCAAGGTTGATCAAGACCGATCAAGGCGAGTCCTGGTAGATCAAGGCGTGAGCAAGACCGATCGAAGCGGATAATGGTAGATCAAGACATGATCAAGGTGGATCATGGTAGAGCAATCCGTGATCAAGGTTGATCAAGGCCGATCAGGGCGGATCATAGTAAATCAAGATGATCAAGACCAATCAAGGCGGAACATGGTAGATCAAGGCGTGATCAAAACCAATCGAACTTCGACTACACGTGTTGTAGTGACGTGACGTCACCATGACGCAGCAGCACCACGTGAATTCGGGCATTTCAAGACCAATCTCTGGTCACATAATTTCAGTTACAGCCATACCACGGCTCGTTAGAGTTTACCTTTTTCTTTTACAGCCCTATACGGTAGGTCCCACCTGCGTGATGTGCGTAAAAGGTTTGGGCGCGCCCTCCCAGAGGCCCACACCTCTGCCGTGTTTATGCCATCATGGCATGTGTTGAAGCTTCGGGCAAAGCAGGTGCCAAGCACCAAGAGCAGCAGAATCAGCAGCTTCAGACAATGTTCATCGTGAAAGGTGAGGTTAATGGACGCGTAGCAGCTTTCGTTCATCTGCTCGCTGCTCTTCTAAACGAGAGAATCGCTTCGCTCTGCCATTTTCCCCTGCTTTCACAACAGTCAGAATTCCTGCCGGCCACATGAGACGAGTTTCAGACCACGCATTCCCGAATGCGGAGCAGAGGCGGAGCTCCATACGATACAGACGACTCGTGACACGTGAGCCAAGCAGTCGAGATAGATGCACTGATTGAACGTCTTCATGAGAGGCACCTTGCTACTACTAAAGGAAGCCTGTAGGGGTGGAAGCTAATGCCACTCCCTTTAGGGCTGGTCCACGAGCATCCTTCAAGCACACAAGGAGTAACACTGCAGCCACACATGTGCTGGACAAGAGATGGTATGAAGTACACAAAACCACAGGGATACTGCTCAGACCGTCTCCGTGCGTAATGCTTTGGCACCACCTCCAGCTATTGGAGACCACATGCACGCTGATGTTAGTAACAGTCTTGAAGCTGATCCTGGCTCGTCGGTCGCCATCTTAAACTTTTTATCTGTTGCAGTTGTTACTCCGCACACTTGTCTACACCCGAGTTCACAGTCCGTCAATCTATATCATGTTTTACGCGTTATTCACTACTCACATGCGGCGTTTCTCATTAAATAGAAGGTGTTTTTGATATCACCGGTGAAGCTCCACTGTAAAAGGCAACACATAAGAGAAACACATGCTGAACGTATAAGAGCACGTAATAAGAATTTGCGAAAGAAATTTGAAAATGTGAGATTTCGAGAGTGAAGTCATTCTCGCAGAGAGGGAGCAATAGTGAACAACCACGTCGGAGTCTACACTTGCACTTTCAACTGCATCTCTTCTTGGAGTTGGTGACGTGAGCTTACCTCCACATCCTATGATGATGTCCCCATGGCCAACCACTGAGGTACTTCAACTCAAATGATGATATGAATGATGATTCATGTCTCCAACCTTTGCGTCATAACTAATGCTCGACCTTAGGTCGGAGCAACCATACTTGTATCGTATTTGTAGCGACGAGATTGACCAAAGATTAAAATCTCAATAAAAATATTGGACGCGGCGTCACAGATGATGTCTGTCTATAGGAAAACCCATATCTTGTAGTAATGTCGTCTTATTGTTTCTCGAAAAATACGAAAGATAAGATAGATGCCCTGGATAAGCAGCCGTCGTTGCTCACATCCGTAAAAGCGAGTTGTTGACGTTCTGCTGGCTATATAATAGAATAAGATGAGAAAGCAAAACAGATGCACTCCACATCACCAATAATCATCACTTCTTCGATACCTTCGGCAAGTGTATCAGAACCACGCTGGGCTTTGATTTATTGTTAGGGACGAATTCCACCGTGTTGTCGTACGAGAAGTAGAGCCACTGTGCAGGGACGTTAACGAACTGCTTCGTCTTGTTGACGTAGAGATTGTCGAGCTGTATAAGCTCTCCACAACGTGCCTTACTCAACTTCATGGGGCTAGCGCCTGAGTTATATATTGCGGAACTCTGACCTAGCGGACTGCGCCAGTCTCTAAAAGAAGTGCGCGCCAGTGAATCTTTCGCTCTGAAATAAGTGCTGACATCATGTGGCCCGATCCGGTTGTCATATAACCCTGTAGGCGTCTCCTCGTCCGATGTGAGGGAACCGTCGGGAGCCGACACTGCATAAGGGATGGCGACACAAGCGGCATCGTATTTGGTCGGATTCTCGCAGGCCGTCATTGTTAGATTGTGAACATAATCACCCTTCTTAGAGACCATCTGGACAACCTCGGCCGACCCCGGTGACACCTTCAGATCGAAGCCAACTTCGTAGTAAGGATATATCTCAGGACCCTCACTACGTCCAAAACGTTTCAAGATGAAAGTGTTCTCCTTGATAACGGCGCTATCGTACCGAAAAGCGTAATAATGGATTCCGAAATAGTTGTAACCCACGATAGCCTCCCCAGGAGAGTCGTATTGGAAGAACATGCACCCCCTGAGCATCATTCCAGGTGTAGGACTAAACACATCTTGGTAGGCGCAGTATTTCCCAGGCTTGAGAGAGGCATCAACACCGATGACGACACCATAACCAGCTAACACTGCCATAGTGACTAACGCGGTGGCAGCAGACAGCATTTGATTCGAGGAAAGACTCAAAAGACTGAGAGCATTTCGTATCGCGAACCTTCAAGATCGAGTGAAGATAAGACTCCCTCATCAAAGCCCTGCGTAGCTTCTTCTCGAGTGTTAAGCCAATCACCACTGGTGAATAGTAACCCCAAACTGACTGGTAACATCTTCCTTAGAAGATGTGCTAGTTACTATCATCAAGGGCCGGAAGAAAGGATCCCACAAGTACCCCTCATTCGGGAGTCTTTCTCATTCACCAACATCGATCAACTCTCGTAATTCACGTTAAACGCTACCAATGAACAAACTTCCGCACAGCCTTGTGCAGCATAGACCTCCAACACTGGACAAAACAACACGGGAAGACCATCTACCAGAGAGTGTGAACAAGTAACAAGAGAGAGAGGATGTTGAGGTTCTCACTCCTGAAAATATCGTCAACCATCTTTACTTGGGTCTTACGTTCTGTGAAACGTTACTGTTGGATGATGATGCATAATAACACAAGCGTGAATCACGTGATATGCTAAGTCCAAACATGTACTGCTATCAGTGATTTCACTTGGTGATATCTTATCGCCAAGTGGAGCTGTTTTTTCACCGTTCGGGGAGCAGCTGCTACGCATATGATGATTACAAGTGATTCTAGTCGCTGTTACTCTCAGCCTGTGAGGTTTTCATTCTCATCACGCGTGTATTGTGTGGCGCTTTTGTGAGCCGTATTCCGACCTTGACTGACTAAAAAACGCAGCTAACTCGTTATACGGAGTACTCTCCTGGAGAAGGCCAATGAGACGAATGTGCTGGCGCACCACGACGGTGTGTGTCCTATTGACAATCAAATCAATACGATCAAGATAGGCCTGCTGCTAGAAGAGTAAGAAAATCGTCCTCAGTCCGGAAGTTTCATTCACTCATTAGTAATCAATTAACATACGATATGCTTCATCAGACACACTATTTCAAACCTCTCTAGTGAGGCTCACAGCGTAACAACGTAGCCGAAAGGCAGCTAAGGATGAATATTCGCGGTCCGCGGATCACGGGTCTAAGGATGGTTTCGTGAGGGGAAATGAAGACGGTTTTCGCGAGCTATCTGGCTCGGACGAAAACCTCAATAGGAGATTCACTTCAACCGTAGAAATGTGGACTCTGATACGAATTTTTCACAACCAATGATCTTGAGAATCTCCAGACTGGAGACTCCAATGAAGATGTGCTTCCGACGATGCATCGCACTATGTTAATTGAGCGTGTTGATGTAGCGTATTGCCATCTCATACGTCATTTCCCACACTGAGAACGGGACCCATATGAGCTGAGCAGAACCAGTAGATATCCTGATTATTGGACAACATGCTCAATGATAGTGTAACTCATAACGATCGAGCCATATATTCAACTCGGGCCATCTACAACACGTCAACATGACGCAGCACCACCACGTGAATTCGAACATTTCAAGACCAATCTCTGGTCACATAATTTCAGTTACAGCCATACCATTTAAAATTTACCTTTTTATTTTAGAGCCCTATACTGTAGGCAGGTCACACTTGCGTGATGTGCATAAAAGGTTTGGGCGGGCCCTCCCAGGGGCCCACACCTCTGGCGCGTTTATGCCATATGGCATGTGTTGAAACTTTGGGCAAAGCAGGTGCCAAGCACCAAGAGCAGCAGAATCAGCAGCTTCGGACAATGTTCATCGTGAAAGGTGAGGTTAATGGACGCGTAGCAGCTTTCGTTCATCTGCTCGCTGCTCTTCTAAACGAGAGAATCGCTTCGCTCTGCCATTTTCCCCTGCTTTCACAACAGTCAGAATTCCTGCCGGCCAGATGAGACGAGTAAAATGCTTTGCCACCATCTCTAGCTATTGGAGACTACATGCGCGCTGATGTTAGTAGCAGTCTTGAAGCTGATCCTGGCTCGTCGGTCGGCTTCTTAAACTACCCTTCGTACCAACAGCAGCACTTAGACCGACGCTTTATATCGTGAGGAGCATACTCCTGCACTTGCTCACTAATATCATCACCACAACCAGCTTTGTCGTTTCAGGCTCACCCGAGTTCCCTCATATTCTCATCGACTGCTTAAAAGAACATAGATGCTGCCAATACACATCCACAGAGTTGAAGAACTGCATCACTACATATCTCAACATACATAGGCGTCAACAGTGACATGAAAAAAAACAAAACTCAAAACTCAAGTCTTGATAGTAATAAAATTGATTATGAAAAATTCATCCCGAATTTCGCTGAAGAATATATTGACCAACACAGAGCCACTTTTCCCCGTAAAAATCCAACCATCACTTTTGCGAAGGCTTCATTGCCAACGCTGTGCTCATTGATCATATGAAAAAAAAAACTATGATATTAATATCTCCACCACCATGTTTGCCTCCTGAGGTCCCACAGCTGAAGTAAACCGTGTAAGGGACCGACACCAGTCATAGTGATCTCAGCATCGTGTAGACGATTCCAAGCAACACGT